ACTACAGAATAGCACCACAACATGATGGTTACTTGTTATTAGTTTAGGGCCTGTATGGCATCAGCGTTTCTTTGCCAAAGCGAGCCCTTTTAAGGTAGAATACACAATATGTTATGTATTATATCAACCATATTGCGTACAATGAGCGGACATCTAGCTCGACGGATTTTGGACATTGATTTGATTTTTCTTCCTGGCAGTTAGCACTCTAGAGACAACCAGGGGACTGCTACTCTTTTAATCCTGTGTCTGTCCATTTGGTGTTAGTGGTTTGAAATCAATATTACATTTGGTTTAATATATTAGTGCACTTTCTTATGGAAATGACAGGTTTTAGGCTTGCTCTGAACAACTTCAAGGTCACTGAAAATAAAAAATCACCAGATTAAAGTCTTTAATCCTGACTTGACTGACAACACACCTCACTCCCATAATCGCTCTAACGGAGCGACGTTTGGTCAGAGTCCCGTGCGCGTGCAGTTGTGACGCTCCTAGGCTCCTTCAGCTTCATAAAGGCGACCGCAAATAGCTTTCAACTGATTGCAATGTTTCCATCTGCGGCGCGGATTTGATGCTCATGGCAGAGCACCCGGCATTCGTTTGCGTCGGCTGCCCTTAAAGGCAATGTGGCGTCATTCCCATTGACTAACGGAGAATATGTACACCCGGAAGTAAGGTGATCTCCCATTAATGTGGATTGATTTGAGCAGTGATATCTCCACTACTCATCGAGCTAAAAAAACAGCCAGATTATCCTTGTTAGGGAATTACACAACATTGATTGATTTAAAATTTTTTTGTGTCAAATGCTTTTGTATTTTTCCCCTTCGATTCGGAGAAAACAAATATTTTTTCGGAGTAAAGGATGGCAGAAGACACACACTACCCCAGAATCCCCAGCTATCGTTTAGGATAAACCAACTGCATTCCATTTCATTCGCAATTGGGCTGGCCCGTCCTACTGTCACGTGATCTTTCCAATTTCTCCATGGCAGAAAAAAAAAAAAACATGCCGAGACTTTCGTTTTTTTTTTTATTCCTCGGTGTAAAATGCCTATTCTAAAGTTAGTTTGGCCATAAAAATGCGTTTTGAATGTCCATTTGGATGCGAGGAGATATGAGTTGTTATTTCAGATTGATGTGGCAGTGGCAAGTGTAGCACATGATCTTTAGTTTGCTAGGTTATTACGAAGAATTACTTCAGGAAATTGCGTCATAGAACGTTTTCATTGTTACCAAGGGTGGTGCCTAGGGACGCTGCTAACCGATATTATGTTCTGTTATGTTGTGGTAACTGTTTAATGGTGTTATCTTTGTGCGCTACCTTCCCCCGTCACAAGAGTGTTTGGTCCCACACGCAAACTTATTAGTTTTAACAAAATCCGCATCTAAAGATACGTTACTTTCCCCTTGTGCAATTCCAGTCTCCACATCTCCACATCACATCGTCATTCAACAAAAGACCGAAACACATTTAAAAAAAATAAAATAATACTTTATCGGAGTGTTCTTTGCTTTTCTCTTTGAAAGCTCATCACATAACGGCATTGTAATACACGGTTCGGCTGGCATTAAATATTACATATCTGCCGTAGTTCTTTTATTTATACGACGAGTCTTGATGAGAAGAGAGTTCTAAGACAAACAAGACTATTCTGAGCCGATCTCTGTAGGATAAATAGCAAATAAAGAACTACGACAGATGTGTAATATATTGACGCTAATGGCAGCCCGAAACATTTATTACAATGCATTCATGTGATGACTTTCAAAGAGTAAAGCAAGCACTGCTGAATAAAGTATGATTTGATCCTTTTACGAAACGTTTTTTTTCATATGGAAATGCAGTTGGAGGTCAACCAATCCACCAGAGTTTGAGAAACTAATCACCGGGGTTTGTCAAAACAGAGCAGCATGGTGTAGTCGCTAAACGATAGCTGGGATTTCTGGGTAGTGTAGTGTCTTCTGCCATCCTTTACTCCCGAAAATATTTGTTTCTCCGAATCGAAGGGAAAATACAAAAGCATTGCACACAATTTAAACCATATCATGTTTGTGTAATTAACAAGGATAATCTGGGTTTTTTAGTCGATGAGTAAGTGCAGATATCACTGTCAAATCCAACATCCACAGTAAGGGGAATACGTTACTTCCGGGTGTACAATTCTCCGTTATCCATGGGAATGGACGCTCACATTTGCCCTTTAAGGGCAGCTGACACAAACGATGCCGTGCTTCCATGAGCGTCAAATCCCGCCGCAGATGGGAATACATTGCAATCAGTTGAAAGCTCTTTTGGCGTCCTTTATGAAGCGTAAGGAGCCTAGAGCGCGTCACAACTGCACGCCACGGGGACACCCTGTCGACAAACGTCCTGCTTCTGGACGTTTATGGAGTTGAGAGTATGTTGGACTAGAGGTAAGTAAATCTGTATAAGGAAGATGAGTATAGGGATAGAGGAGAACAGGTTATGGTATAAATTACAGAGCCTGTCCATTTATACAATTAGAGGAAGTCAATGTTAGTCTGTTACCAAAGTGCAGGCCATCTATCTATCTATCAACTATCTACTATCTGTTATTAAAGATCAGAGGAAAAGAACAGAACGAGAGGGGTAAATCCAGAATAAAAATAAAGAAGCAAAGAGATTGTAGAGCAGTGAGAAGGAAACAAGCTCGGTGTGTCAATTCATTACATTGCCAGTATTTTTCGTTGTTGTGAGAAAAAAAAATCGCCCCCTCAGATTTTTTAACAACCCTCAGTCATTTCATCCTGGAGCCGGGCCTGCCCTGGTGTCAGGGCTTCTTAACATTTAACAACCTACTAATGTGTCATACCCACTTAACGGGAAGAAACTCAGCTAACTGACGATATGAACAATTTTTACCGAAACAAAACACAAGTCTAACGCCGGGCGTCTGAATTAGCACTAAGCAAAAGAGTGCTAACGCACTTAGCAAATAACTCACGGTAGCAATATTGTATATTCATCGGATCTGCACAAACAAGATATTATATTATATTGATTCCGATAGTATAAGTATCATCACTGTGCGACCAAAACTCACGGCAGCGAAAGCCAGGAAAGACAACACACAACTTGACTTTACGTCTTACCTTTGCTGTTTTCTGATCAAAAGTTGTGTTTCAGGGCATTTGAACGCAGACAAACGCTGCTGAAGGTTAATCCAATGTCTCTGTGTCACTTTGAAATGATTACTGATAATCCATCATAACCTTTATGGCAATAAACGTATTTTACAAATAGAGTGTAACAGAGCTTCCGGTTTTGGGCAAACTGCGTGCGCTTCACTCTCACTCCTCAATAGCAGGGCTCAACGCTAACTTTTTAAAGTGGTTGCCAGGCAACCAGGCATTAGCTTTTGGTTGCCAAAACTGAAAATACGGTTGCCATTTTTAGTCACCTTATATTTTAAATAATTAAGATACTATACAGTTATACATCAACTTAATAATGAACATGTGACAAGAGAATGTTCAAATGCTTTACAATAAGTAATTAACACAATTATTTGAAACCTAAGTGGTAGGAAACTCGTCCACCCTCAATGGCTGGTATACTAAACACCAGTAGTGCAGCTGCTGTCATGTTCTTCACAGATCCCTCAAACATGAATTGAGCAAGTCACTAGTTTCTTGGCAATCCGTTGTCTCCCTTTCAAATGTGGGTTTGACCTTTGTGCTGACCCCCACCATAGATCCACTGGCCCTTCAGCATTGAAGTCTTGGATTGGCCAGACTAATACATTTGTAATGTTAAATAAATGAAAACCATTCACAGTTAAGAATTAGATATTAATTATTAATGCTGTAAATGACCTTTTATAAGTCTAACTATATTTAAGATGTGTTACCTTTTTATAGAAGTGATTATATTTTTATGCCAATATTTTCCTATGGTAAAGTTTCGTTTAGCACTTTTTTTTTGGTAGTAATAAGATCAAGACTCTTATTTTGAAGGAACTTTTACCGGAAGTGAATGCACAACGGAGCAGAATGAAATCAACCCATTGTAGTGCCGGTAAGAAGGAGTCGGAGGCGGAGTATTTAAGATGGATTTCCACTCTTTATTTTCCATCAAGGAATAGTGATATCAGACATGTACTCAGTGATGAGAGTCAAGTTAGAGTGCCTTGCTAGCTCTAGCTTGGCAACCTATATCTCCGGTGTTACACTAAACAAGGTCCGTGTAGGAACTGTGACCCAAAAGTGAATTATGGTTAACTATAGTCACCACACAAGCCCCCCCAGAATTCACAGATAAACAAAGTCCGTGCGGCGGGGAGGAACAACACGCCGACCCCCTCTACTCCTGAGTATGGGGGCAGGCAAAACAACTCCTGAACGTGCGGTTCCCGGCAAAGTGGGAACCGGGACCGCAGGACTCGAACCTGTAGTGGGAATCGAAGACGGGGGTCGACCCCGTCGTGGTGGACGGGCCAACACCACCGGCTGCTCCAAGTCCAAATGAGCAGCCCATGCACCCCCTGGACATTTCCAAAACGGCAGTAATAACGCCTTTTGGACTCTTTGAGTTCCTGCGGNCCCACCATAGATCCACTGGCCCTTCAGCATTGAAGTCTTGGATTGGCCAGACTAATACATTTCTAATGTTAAATAAATGAAAACCATTCACAGTTAAACATTTGTGTTTAACTGTGAATGGTTTTCATTTATTTAACATTAGAAATGTATTAGTCTGGCCAATCCAAGACTTCAATGCTGAAGGGCCAGTGGATCTATGGTGGGGGTCAGCACAAAGGTCAAGAAAACCCACATTTGAAAGGGAGACAACGGATGACCAAGAAACTAGTGATCTGTGAAGAATAGAACAACAGCTGCACTACTGGTATTTTGTATACCAGCAATTGAGGGTGGACAAGTTTACTACCACTCAGGTTCAAATAAGTGCGTTAATTACTTATTGTAAAGCATTTGAACATTCTTTTGTCACATGTTCATTATTAAGTTGATGAATAACTGTATAGTATCTTAATTATTTAAAATATAAGGTGACTAAAAATGGCAACCGTATTTTCAGTTTTGGGAACCAAAAGCTGATGCCTGGCAACCACTTTTAAAAGTTAGCGTTGAGCCCTGCTTTGGTATTGTGTTCTTAATAATTGATACGTTTGTTTACTTAGGATATTTTAATAGAGAATGCATACAAGTTCCAAAGTCTTAAAATCCATATGAATTAACAGATCACATATTACTAAAGGGTTTACTTGTATTACTATGGTACAATTTTAGATTATATTTGTGGCATAAAATGTTCTAAATGAAAATAATAAGTTTTTCTGGGACAAAGCATTGTAGGGTGCACTTACAGCTGCCGGTCGAGGGTGATAACCTGAATAGTGACAGTCCAGTTTGTCAGCGCTGTCCTCCCGCTCCTCGTTCTCTCCCTCGTCACTGGAGGGTCGGGAAAACCCATCGGGGGTGGTCTGGGCGTGGTGGGGTGACTCTTGGACAACTGCAGGGTCACCGGGGGTTACACCTCCATGACTGCTGTTTAGTCTAGACCAAGAATGATACAATTCCATAATAGTCAGGAAATTGATTTCAGAGAAGTATAGAAAATGTGTCAAATGCTAAGTTGTAATTGTTTGTTTCACCCTCCCCTCTCAGTGAATAAGGCTTGGTTCTGACGGTCACTACATCAATGCATACAAACAGATCAAAATTCAATAGAAAAACAGATCTGGACATACCGTGGAAGACCAGGGCTGTGAAATTTGGGCTTGCCGATTGGCAAAGGCTTAATGGCTTCTGTGGCGGGGCCGTTGACATGAGCGACCTGGTGGGCGTCATGGGCAGCGGCGAGGTGGGAGGAGGGGTGAGGGTCCCTGAGAGAGGGGTTCTGCTGGGAATGGGTTTGTTGGAGCTCTCTCTCCTTCTCCTTCTCCTTTTCCTTCTCCTTCTCCCGATCCCTCGTTCTGCTCTTGTGCTCCGCCAGCAGCGTGTCAAAGCGCTTCCTCCGCCCTGGCACCGCTCTCCGCTGGCTTAAGGAATGTGTCTGGTTGGGCATTAAAAAGGTCAGAATTATTGTTTGAGAAGATAGACTCCTTGGTTTTTATGCCTACAAGATATAGCATGCATGAATTTGTGAACCACAACCATCGTTAAAAAACAATTCTACATGTTTGTAAATGTCAAAGAATTTCCTTAAAAGAGCAACACTTGCTTTCTGCATCAAAAACGTAATAAAGCTTATCGCTCCAAGCCCTAGAGCTCAGCCATTGTCTAAAAACTATTTAGAATACATGGCTTACATGTTCCTTTATTACAGTATATAGAACAAATATTTTATTTATTCTCAATCTGTCTTGCCGACAGAAAATGGAGCATGAGAGCAAATACTTCTTCCTGTTTGAATAACAGCCCACATGTTTTTATTTAGCTTTTTTTAGCCTTGTTCACAGAATCACTCCAATTCTAACAGCCTTGAAGGCAGTTAACCAGCATTAAGCCTGACGCTCTGAACCACTGCTTAGTCACATCAGTGATTTGAGCCATACTGAGTCTGAGGTTGCTGAGAGTTCTGAACTATGAGCAACACTGAGCAGCAGCAGCAGCAGCAGATGACTCAGCAGGTGTTGCAATATAATGAATGAAAAGTGGCGTCTAGAGGAAATCTCATCAAAGATTTGCAGGCTAGGCTAACCGTTTTAAATTGTCCAAGCAAAAGCTAGTAAACTTAGCTTGCTAGCCTACGCAACCTAAGAGCAACACAATTGTAACATCAGGACGGGTTATCCGTGTTGGGGAATTTTGTCAAAGGCCAGATGAGTATAACGCTACTTAACCAGCACTATGTAGGCTTGGATTTTTTTTTAAACAAATGTGTATGAGTGTTTGCAAGCTGAGAGCCATATCTTGTTTTTTGTAATCATTACAGAACCAAATAAGTTGTCTGTGTTGGAAATCCCATACTAAGTGTTTCCTACATGCTCAATCAAGTATGTAATGCATACTGCCTACTAAATGAACAATTAAATACATTAGAGTGGAGGATCAGAAATAAATGGTTCAACTTAAAAAAAGATTTGACACTTGTTGACAATAGAACAATTGAGGAACATTTCCAGTTTATGCTTGAAAACCTACGCAGTCATACAGGCCGGTTGCTCGGCACAAAGCAGAGAGACTGGTTACCTTGCATGTTAGCGATCTTGTGCATGTTTTCCGAGCGGTCAAATCCACAACGCCACAGTGGACATCTGCATTGTACTCGCGCTCTGAAGGCACAGAGAGAGACAAGAAAATTGTTACTTACATATATTGTGACAGATCACCTGCTCTAGTACCTTGATTAACTGTTCTTTATGTTATGTAAAATATTCTATTTAGGTGTCCTTTTGTTATCAAAGAAATGGATTACTGACGTCGGGATAAGAAGAAGAAGTACTGTGAATGGTCTTCCATTGACCTACCATTACCCTATTATAAAATAGACTAAGCAGGTCTAGAGAAACAATCTATTTTAGGAACACAAATATTTAGTTCTGGTTTTTATTATGAGACAGTACATAAATACTGTACCTAATAATCTAAACTGAACTCATGACAGAAGTGTTAACAGTCCTTTTTCCTCAAATCACCTCCAACTGACCTGTAACTTTCTTGTTAACGTGGCGTCTGCTACTGGCACTGCTGCTGCCGTCCTGCTTCTTGTCTGAGAGGACTGAGAGGTGGCCCTTGCCGTTGGGAATCTGACCCGGGGCCAGTAATGGAGGCTTTGGTATGGAGGGACAGTTAAGGCCTGGTTTAAGGGCTGATGATGAGGATGAGGAGGAGGTGGTGATGGTGGTAGTGTTGGAGCTCACAGTGGTGCTAGAGGAGGATGTGGAGGAGGGGGAGGTGGTGGCTGGGGCAGACGGGGCCTGCACCAGCTTAGCTGACGAGGAGTCCACCCTCAGATGCATCTTCTCCACCTTGACAGCCGGGGTGAGGCTGGAAGAGAAGGTTACAGAGATGAAGAGGGCAGCAAGGAGGAAGCCGAGCGTTAGAAACACGGAGCCGGTGAGAAACGCATGGTTGGAGACAGATGTGCACGTATGGAGGGGGCTGGGAGGACAAAACATAATTCTAACATGATCAAACATTTATCACCATACCAACAGAGAGAAAGTCAGATAATGACACCTGTTTTGTAAAAGCTCCTGGAAAAGAATCCTGATTGAATAAGAGGGTTTGATAATAAGGACAGCACTTACAGCACTTCTTTGTTAAAGTTGTAGTGTGTTAAAATCAAGAGCCTAGTTCAAATACATGTTGACTTATCAAGAACAAGCCAAAGTTGAGGACATTTAAATGGAATAATTCAGAAAAAAACTGTGCAATAAATGTTTAAACACAAGTTTGTATATATTTATTCAACACTTGGACGTTGTGACGTCTGAGGGCTCAGATTGTGGCCAGGATAATAACTAAGGTTGTTTATGTACTGAAAACAGTCAAAGGTCACAGCCTACTTCCTATTTCTAATTAAAAAAGTTGTACTGCTTGGTGGTTCTTAGTCCACAAGCAATTTGTGTCCAAGTGTAAATGTACTGCCACCAGAGGGCATATTAACAAGGCAACACCCGAGATTTCCTTTGTGTCGTTTGGCCAACAAACTAAAATTAACTTTTTATAGCCGAGTAAATTCACAAGCAGCAGTTCATATGAGAGTCAGTTAAATTAACAATCACTGGCTTAATCTTTCAAATTGCTATTACTATATGAAAACAATTCATAGTTCAGCCCCAGTGAAAATGGGTACATTGCAAAACCCTATAAACAAACTTCACTACAAAGGTTACAGAGTAAAACTTACATCTTGTCCAGCTGGGGCGTCCTGAAGGGTGCAAAGGGGGCTCTTCGCTGAATGCCTGGCTGCTTCTCTTTGGCTGGTTTGAGGAGTTTGGGATTGGAGGAGGCGGAGGACGCTGAGGAGGATAAACTGGATCCAGCTGTGTTAGGTCGGCTAAGGATGCCTCCAGTTGCCACTCCAGCTGCAGAGCCCGAGCCCAGCAGGGACCCGAGCCCACTGCTCCGGTTCCTGCCCGACACGGGGAAGGGCGAGGTGGAGGCTGGCTTCATGGCCGAACTGTGTCTTCTCTCTGGAGGGGCAGTATTCAAAACATAATAATTAACTCATTTAGATTATCCGAACAAAGAATAACAACATGCACATAAATACATGTTTGTGTGCATGTAAATGGTCAAAGGCTAAGATCCCAAAGTTCCCTCCAGAGGGAGTTTCTCTCCCACATTCCTGAAATGCCTCCATTGGGCTTCTTTGTTTACTTCCGCAACAAAGGGACATCATGATGTAACACTCACGTTTCTATTCCAACACATTGTATGTAGTAATAGGCTAAGGGGCAGGACATCTCTAAGCGATTGAGAAATCACAACAGAGCCGGCCAGCTAACCAATCAGAGCAGACTGGGCTCTGGTTTCAGACAGAGGGTGAAAAGAGGTGCTGCAGCACAGGCAGCATGAGAACAATTAAGAGCTTTTAGAACATTGAAGCATGGAGACATGTCACAGTAGAGGCATAATAGGGTCCCTTTAACCCTACACCATAACAGATTCATGTATATGAATAAATGTGTCAATGCCATAAGTCAGTAGAAACCACACACGATAAACATGGGAATATAAAAAAATCTTCCTCTGATAGAAGTGAAAGAAGTATACCTCGCCAAATAATAAGCAGCGTTTGTGTTTCATGCGAACTCAATGCCTGAAATAGAAGCACCCAACAGGTCAAGAACTTCATTTCCTGTCTGAGCTTCTAAGAACAGCTACTGTGAAGAGTGATAAAAGGCAGTGTGACAGCAGAAACGGTTTGGGTGATACAGATGGGTAGATGGAGAGACACGAATAGAAGAAATGCTCATCGCCAAGTGATTAGATATTCCTTCCTGGAAAGAAAAGTACACCATGTTTCACAAACATCATCAAACAGCGGTCTCATGCGCTCACAATAAGGGTTTGGGTTTTCAAAGGAGGCTCTTGCTATTTATAGTAACAGCATACAACTATGAAATGGCACACTCATAATAATTCCATTCCACTACAGTCCCACCGCAGAGACTCATTTAGCCACAACAGAGACAGTCCAGAGCTCCTTCGCTGCCACATCTGACACTCCCTGAGAGGAAGGCAGGACAGGGTCAGTGTATTCAAAAACTAAAAACGACTGGATATTTAATTTTCGTTTTAAAATTGAAAAACCAAAATTGAAATAAAAGTTGTTTTTATATTTTTCTTTCCTTTTTTCTCTTCTCTTAACTGAATAGTCCTGTCTTTAATTATAATACAATGTAAAGTCCTTTTCCTGCATCATTTTAAGGCTTCAAAAACAGGCATTTTTACTGTATGCGTTTGGAGAAATGACACAATCAATGGCCCAGAATTGCACTTTATAAACTATGAATCTTGTGGTGCTTGAAGAAATACACACGGTTAAGCCGGCCAGGATATATATATATACACATATATATATATATATTCAGGTGTATGTGTATATATATATATATATATATATGTACACCTGAATATAAGCCGCAGCAGATAAATTGAATGATGTGTACATATATAAGCCGCACTGGACTATAAGCCGCAGGTGTTTTAATGTTTAATTACCATATGTAAGGGTTCGTGCACAGAGGGGATTGTCGGGAAAGAGATGGCTGTTTGAGGAAGCTCCCATTTATTAACATTTCAACAAACAAGTTGCATATTTGCATAACGTATTCAAGTGTTGCCATTTACAGTAGTGCAATAGTAGCTACAGAACATGTACTGTGCTGTGTAAACTGTACTGTATCACATAGCGTTTCAGACACACAAACTTTTCAACTTTCAAACTTAAACGGTGCGCTCCCAGCGCACGTACCGGCAGTGATCTACAGCAGCGGTTTTCAACCAGTGGTATGAACACAATGAAGACCATTTAGGAGAAACATGTTACAAGGGAGACCTCTTTGTTCTACGTACAAGAGAACGATAAAAATAAGTCGCAATTTTTGTGGAAAAAGTACTGTGACTATAACAACCTGTCTCATGAAATTTCTCCCCATTCTGTAAATGTCGTTATGAGGTAGCAGAGGCGTCGTCCGTAGAAAATGGGAACCTTTCAGAAATTCTCGACCGGACCCATCGGACCATTGTTTATAGGAAGTCGTTGTCGATGTTGTGGAACACTGAAGAACAACCGGAGAATACTTGGAAACGACAGAAAATTTATCCTAATAAAGAACAGGATCAAGTTAGGAGCGACTAAGAAGGTAGCAGGGGTTCAGTAACCTGTACCAGTCAGTTTCCTCCGAAGCTTTTACACGGTTAAGTTGTTTTACAAAAAAAAACACTACACTTTCCCGGGCTCGATTAATATCTTACCAAACTAACTAATGGTTCGAACTCTTTTTAATTTAGGTTGAGGAGGATACCTTTGCAAAAAAGACGATTTTATCAACTTTAACTTTGCATTTGATATGGTTCTGTTGGTCGAGGTAAACCGGGAAAAAACGTGGCGATAAATTTAACTGGAAAACCACTTCAAAAATTATTGTAAACTATAAATAAAGAATACTTTATGTTATAACAATATATTATATATCGTAAGAACTTACGTCAGAAAGAATTTTTTTATTTTTACGTTTACTTCTTATAACATTACAAGACGTGTCTATCACGGAATTGGAACTTTAAACTTTGTAAACCCCGTTGAAATAATATGTCACCCTACTTTCTAAAGAACCTTCCTATTAAGAAGGTACCCGAAAGGTTACCTGAGAGACATTTACCCACAATACGAACGAAGAATACCTTATCATTACTATCCCAAAACAAATTTATTACACTGGTAAAAATTATTTATAACGTTTTATTCGAAATGGTATAAAAGACTGATTATTCGCGCGGGAAAAAAAAAAGGGTAAAAAGCCCTGCGAACGCCAAATATATGCCACTGATGATAACTAAAATATGTCGATTTGCCCGTGGGGAATTTGAGAACCCGAGATAACCGGCCAGCGCCTGGGGGTGGAGAATTCGTTGCCAAGGTCGTCCTTTTCGACCCCGGCCTTTCTCCTCTTGGTCCAAACGCGCCGTTTCAAAAAAAATTTTCTCACCTTTGGCTCTCACCATGCTCTCCTGTCTTGCCTCGATTTCCTGTCTGAATGGCTTCCCTCGCCTCTGTCAA